TGTTCTCCTGGATGTGAGACAGTAACAATATCTTCGAAGTGGTACCGGTGATATAGCGGGAAGGTTAGGCCTACCCGCGGACCGGGCAGTGGACTGCCATGTCACGTCATGCCCCTGGCCATCCCACTGACTCTGAGAACGTGGACCCACAATGAAAGTTCCTCCCCATGCGACAGCACACGTTTGTGAGTGTACAGCTCCAGCGTTTATCTTTGCCTGATGTTGTGTAGCCCTTCTGGCAGGGGATGGTGACACTGATAGTGAACATGTCCTTGTTCGAGACGGGCATGTTCTGCGTGCATTCGCTCCAAAATGGCACATCGTGGGGCAACATAAGTATACCCTGTTGACACATGTCAAAGTTTGTTCTAACAGCTTACTCGACTCGTTTTGTCACATAAATGTAGGTAGGATCAGTGTCTCATCTTTCATTACCGACTGTTTCCCAGGAGATCTGAACAACTTACAGCTAGACAAATCGCCTGCTGGCTTACATCCATTTCTCGGAAGGACCGCCTCCCCATCTCCAATGGATCCATGCTTGCTTTAGTATCAACCATGGCGGCAACATGTCCTGGATCCAGTGTTGTAGGGTCACCACATCCATCGGGCGGTGATTCCAGCAGCAATGATGTGTCTGGCTCCTGAGAATCTGGACTCGAAGTCGCAGACTTGGCCAAACGGACGCCGAGTGCATAGTACCTATGTGTGAATTACCTTTATACGTTCAGGATTTCCACTCTTTATTCATGCCAATGACCAGTCCCAACATCTATTTTTCATCGGCTGGGTTCGTCTCTTCATCATTCAAGTATTTTGTACTTGGACTCCACTTGTCGTGTAGCTTTATGCTATCCCGAGTCCCAATTCTCCTGGCGCTACTTGTAGAATAAGACCACACTGCATAATTCTCTCATATCAATATCCGTGTTTCGATGCTTAGATCTAGATCTACAACACTGCCGCTGATTCTAATAATCTGGTTGCTATGAATTTTGGCGGATCAATTTTTGTCGGATCAGGCGCGCACTTGTTACAGTGTACCCGGTACGTCAGTGGGAGTCTGACTTTCTGCGAGTCCCGGCAGCCGAGCTCGTTCGTAATGTTAGCTGCTTCCGACTCGTCGGAAATAGTGGTTGAGGTCGTAAGACACATCAAACAGGCGATTTCCTAACACCTCGAGGTCGTCGAAGTGGGACGCTGTTTCAGTAGGGTCAACCCTTCAAGATCACTTTCAGGACGCATCAAGTCTGAAAAAGCACTGATACCTTTCACATCTGTCAAAGGAACAGAGTAATAGGGAATGGCTTGCCGTTGCAGCATTGGCGAGAATGATGCCATGGTCCTTGCCGCAGTCATGACCCTGCTTTTGGCTGAGACTAATCAGATTTACACAAAGGAGCATCTTCTCTCGAATCCGACGTCGCTTAGATATCTTGGTGACCCTACATTTTATTTTTTTGCTCTCAGTTTCTTCTGGCCTGAGCAAGTTCATTGCGGGTAACAAGAACAGAAGTTGCGCAGTACTTATTCGTCTTCGCGCAACATCTACGGGCCACACGTCATAGGTGGTGGAATGATATCAACGTGTACTGGATAGCAACCAATTAATTCGACGACAATTCATGTATATGTCCAATTTTGTGAGAGTCATCAGATGCGACTGGCGGACTCGGGGTAGCAAGGACTCGGTCGCAGCGAAATAATTATTATGTATGGAGATGCATATACTTGTCGGTTCTTGGTTAGTTCTCCTTCTCCGTGTGAAGGTCCTCGAAAGGAGAACAAGAGTCCACCAAGAATGAGAAAGTCGATATGTCTGAAACGCGGCCAAATTCCAATCCCTGCTTTCCCTTCAGGCTCATTGGTTCGGGCCAATCTCATGGGAAACGGTATGTGGCAGAGTCAAGCATGAGTCCACTTTTTGGAAAGTTGCGAGAAAGGGTTACTAACATGATGGTGGGGTGGTGGTCTAAATAGTAAAGAGGATGCCCACGATGTCGCTGTTCCTTCTTGAAAGTGGTGAAGCAGGGGAGCAGCGTCGAAAATTCTCAGCAGGTGTATCCGGACTGCGGGGATGCCATGGGAATGGCTTAGTCACCGGTTTACTCGGCCCGTGATCCCACAGCTACCTTCGACGTGAACATCCATGAACAACATGCTCTTCAACTTGCCTGACGATGTGCTGATCTACACCCTTGCTTTTCTCTCCGTCCCAGATATCTTGGTTTTCCGCCAGGTGAGACTATCCAATACTGGTCAACTTACTTACTGAGACCACAGGTGTGTAAACGATTCAACGCACTCACAAGATTGCACATCGTCTGGACAAACGCATTCAAACACGATATCCTCTCCAATGACTACCCCGCTCCAATCGATGACACAGATCTTGAGCAACGCACGTGCCACGCCTGCCATCTCGCATCTCGATGGCTCGCAGACTCTCCTCTGATGCCATCGAGCGAGACAAGTTTCACCGGGTCGCCCATATGGGAAATCAAATTCATACCAGGACGACAGCACAAGTGGTTACTGACCGTATCGAAAGGGATCTGGTCGGTGCTTACGATCTGGGATATTGCGCTTGGGTGCAAGTGTTCCGAGTGGTCACTGAGAGGTGCACTGTTTACTGGGTTGAAGCTGAACACGGATACAGAGTCTGAGGCGAGTATGGCTGTGGCGTTGGATGGGTGAGTGTTTGTTGTTCTGATGACACATCGCTAACTTGTGTAGATCACAGAGAATCGTGCTCCTGCATCTGGACGACGGTGGAAAGCTGCGTGAAATCCACTCTTTTGACAGCGACCTTCACCCTGTCACCCTCACTGGTGATATCATAGCCCTCAGCGACCACATCTCTACGACACTGATCTACAATTGGAAGACGGATGAGCGAGCCTACCTCGATGAAGGAGGAGACATGCAGGTAATCATTTGCCAACTGATCTAATTCTTGCTAATTCATCTCGAATAACAGTACGATCACTGCATCCAAATCATCTTCACCGCACAAACCATTCTCATCATATGCGCATGCTCCATCAACCTGTACACTACCCCGCCCTTTCTCCATGGACAAACACACTCTCCCACTGCCTCCCACTCATTCGGCTGGATTGACAGCGCCAGTGCAACCCCCACCTCGATCCTCATCCGCTCCGAGAGCGACAACCCCTGGATACCAGATGTTGACTCGTTCGAACTCTATTCCCTCTCTTCCTTCCCCCCAATACTCACCAGCAAGATATCATCTCGACGCGGTGTGCTTCGATGCACAGGCGTCATACTCGGGAAATGTGGGACTGCTATATGGATACGCCCCTATCGTGAGATGACCTTCCCGGATGAAGAACACCACGAGACGCTCATGGCTGCCGTATTCCCCGGCCCGCTCAACCCCACTGCTCAACCCCGTGTTCGTGAGGTATTCTCGAATCCGCTGAATAACTGGACCACATTGGATTATGATGAAGAACTCGGGAGAATAGCCCTCGGGTCGGGGTTGGGGAAGATTACGGTTGTCCAGTTGTAGTCATAATATGTCCTTCATGACGTACTGGGTCTGTTATGTGTGAAAGTAGGGTTTGAATCCCTCTGGAAGGGTTATATCTTTGAGGGAATGTTTTCTTCCTTGCACGAGTCTGAGCTCGATTCCATGTAACCCATGCTTCGCCGAGGTGACTACTAGGCTCACTCCCTCTCTACTTTTCTTTCAGCTTCTTTCCGCAATGAGCATCGCCATAAATGAAACTGCAAATCACCATCCACTTAATCCTTCGTGACATTGTGGTCTTATCATACTCGTTATCGTTATCTGGGTTCGAGTCCCAGTCGGATGATTGTCGATTTGATTGTGTTCTTTTTGTGAGATCCCCACCCAAGCTCGCAGTGCGCACCGCAGGAAACAAAATCATTCTTTGTGACCTTGTGATATTATCATGCGTTGTCTGTCATTTCCATCCCAACACATGTGGAAACTACGGTTTTGCGCAACTTTTGCGGAAATAGGGCCACCCGTGGTTCAATCCCGCGAGTCAGCTCACCGGTACTCTGGGCGAAAATGTTGATTATTTTGTTCTCCGACTTCTTTGCGGATAGATTTCGCTTATTCAGGACCTAGGTTTTTGTGTTGAAATGTCAGATCGTGGGATGGTAGTAGGTACGCCATGAAGCATACACGGCAAATATTTTGTGATCGAAATGACGTTTCGTGTATGCAAGAAGAATCTTCGTTCAATGTATGCTTGATCTTTCAGTTGACGGGACAAGAATATAGGTTCATTTCTTTGAATATAAATCTCACACAAGCAACTGATCTATAGCTTTACGCCAGCGTCGCGGGCTTGTCCTTTGAGTCCCAACTAATAAACTCGACAGTACTTGATCAAAAACGCAAGGTGAATGATCACAGGAAAGCATACTTTGAGCGCAGGAAAACGCAACGATCCGGTGATTGTTGTCCTGAGAAAGGATATTGGGAGGGATTCAGTCTAGTTCTTTCGACTGTGAGAATTACGCATTCGAGGTTGACGACTCCTCTACAGTCTTGTGTCCCCGTTGTCCCCAGCACGGACGGTCTGCGGGAGTGAACACCCCCCCAACGGAGATACAAGTTGCGCGCCAATACATTCAAATGAAACAAGATTGCGCATTTTTACATCCGCGGACGAAGTGGATATCGCCTCCGACTGCAGCTGCCAAAGAAGTATGAAGATCATTCGCAACAGTACAATCTCGAACCACGTCACGGAGAGTAGCAGAATTAAACAGATGCGTTTGTAATGCAAGGATGTGTGAGAGTGGGGTCATCTAAATCGTAGGCATATGTAATAGCCTAAAATCTTCTCAGAGTCACCGGAAGCATTACAGGCGAGTATGAAAAGATGACAGCTATACAAATGGCTTTTTTTCAGCAAGAATATAAAACGGTTTCCACTATTTAGAACGAATAGAATACGGAAGAGAGATCCCAGATCCAAATCACGGAAACATTCATGTCAAAATGACCCTGTTAAACGAATGTCTTTGATGGAGGCTCCAACATACACTGTAAAAGTACCCGAGGGTTTCACCCATGATTGACTCAGAACATCCCATATACTAAATGATACAGTTAACAATGAAACATCTCGATATAATGACACCTCACCTCATTTCCTTCTGGGAGATGGTCATGCTAACGGTACTTGTTTCTCCAACCGCTAGAACAACTTCATCGAAGCCCCTTAGCACTTTCTGAGGTTCTCCGGCACCATCGGGAAAACCGAGGTACATCTGGGGAATCTCGGTCCCGTCAAAAGCCCCGGTGTTGGCAATATTGAATGATATCACTTTGGAACTTCCAGAGGAAGTAATGGAAAGAGACGAGTATGAAAAGGTCGTGAACGACAAACCAAAGCCAAATTTGAACTGAGGCGTAATTCCCTGTTGATCCATGTAACGGTAATCGAGGAGCAGCTTCTCGGTGTAAGTAATCTAAAGAAGACAGTCATGAGTTGCACAAAAATGAAAAGGACAAGGGACATGGACATACGGTGGGAGAGCCGAGAATGTCGTATACAATTTCGGTGCCATATGCGTCTTCGTCCTATCAAAATACACGAATCAGTGCCTTACAAAAAGAAGAATCTGTTATTGTTCACATATGCAATGGAGAAGGGGAGCCGTCCGCTAGGATTGATGGCTCCCCAAATAATATCAACAATACTGGGTCCGGTCTGTTCACCGGGAGCACCAGCATATATCACTGCCGATATGTTAACATGCGTACTCCAGTCCGTATAGACCGGTCCAACCGAATGCACAACCACAACGGTGTTGTTACAAACAGCGGCAACAGCTTTAACCTTAGGATCAAGAGCGTAATTAGAACAAGCCCAAGATTACCGCCTCTGAACTTACGAGACTGCCACCTTTGTACCAGAGGTCCAAATCATTCCTATCACCCATATTGCCCGCCACATTCTCATAACCCTGGAGTTCACCACTCATTCTATGTCAGTCAACCGGAGATGAACGACAATCCCACCATACGAGAAAATGGAACTGACGCATTTACAAATACAATGGCTAGATCCTTCCCTTTCGCAGCGGCAGGACCAGCAGATAAATCATTGGACAAAGACGAATTTATCGTTGCCGAACTGCCAACGAAATCGGTAATGGCATCGATTGGCGGGACAATGTATTGCAACGAGTTGGTACCAGAGCCCCAGCTTTCAACACGTTTTAGATGAGAAACCATTTCTATGTATAGGCACACACCCAATGCTCATCATCCCATCGTTACACTCCCCCGAGTCATTACAGTTCAGATTTGGCATCTTGGCATCCTGGCCAACTATAGCGATTGTCTTGATCCTTTCTTGCGCCACGGGAAGGCCTCTTACGGTCACCCCCGAAATGGACCCTCCACACAGAATCAACACATCAACATATGGTAGCACATGACACATCAGTAAGTTAACATCCGTATGGCACGCATGGCACCATGTAAATCATGCAAGCCATACGGTTATACATGCGCATGGCTCTATAAGGTACCTACGTAAATCCATGCACCCCCGTTGTGGTAGTATGAGTTGCCGCACTCGTAGACTGGACATCTCAGGCCAGCTGACTCATACTTCCTTTTTTGGTTCGATACATGTCTTTCCTTCCTTCCACCATCATGTACTCCGTTTTGCTGCCATTCTCCTTTACAGATTCATATTTTCTTCAACGCATCACTGTGTAGCTCTGGGATCAACGAGCACGCATTCCTCATACTTCTGCCTTTGGGCATCAATGCTCAAGACCAAGACACCAACGTTGAGGTAGCTCACCTCACCAACAAAAGAGCTGTTTCAAACACTGGCGGAAAGATTGGTACTGGTTGTATGGATGTTGTATAGATATATTGGTTTGTTTTGTCTTCATTTTCCATTTCTGATTTCCTTTCTTTGAGTTTCATCATCAATCCCCTCCCTACCCCATCCAACGTGAAGACCAACACCAATGGCGGATGACATCACCTTGGAGCATGCTGGGAATCGAGAAACGACGGCATGGGCCACCGTTTGTATGCTGAGCGGGGCAGCACCTCTTCCTATGCCGTAGTTGCATGTATCCTGGGTGGTTTAGTCTTGCTTGCGGTCGAGGTAACTGAGCTAGGTATTTGCTTTCTTCTGACACATTTTGTTATAGAATATATCTACATACACGAATCTATCAATTACAGGCTCTGGCGACACGAGAGAACATGTGCGGCTACCCCCTCTTCCACATTTGTATCTGATTGACATGGAAATTTGATTTTTACCTTTCTTGCCTTACACCATGAGCACTGAGCCATCGAGCGAGCCCCTGAGCCTTCAGAATTGAGCCCAGTAAGTGGTCTCCTTGTTCCTCATACTGATTTACTATTTAGATACTTCTCGTATCAATAAACACGCCAATTCATGTCCACACCTGGCCGATTCGCAAGCAACTCACGACCTTGCGTAACCATCTATGTCCGCTTCAACGTATACTGCGACACCATATGGCGGATTATACAGTTATTGACAGGTCATTGCAACACTATCAGTCACTGAAACAGTTGATTTAGCCTCCTTCTCGCCAATTCCGCTGCCTGAAACTGTTGTATAATTGGAGACATAGATGCTATGGATTTTTAGTGATTTTTGGGGGATTTTAGTGCTACTGCTGACCCCATGAAAAATCGAACAGTGACACAAATTTGGCAGGGGTTTGTCACATGGTCATTTACCAGTCAATGAAACACCATAAATTACGAATATCTCAATAATAGATGATTTGATCCACTTCATACTTTGTATAGACATCACTGAGGAATATTAAAAATTTTGTGGCTACTTTATTTGAGGAAAAAGACGATGTGTGGTAGATGGGATAAAAAATATTTTTCGGCATTCCAATGACCGGTAAATAACTGTACGCAGCCATGCAGTTATGCCCCACTCCATCCACACTGTTATACTGTTCCACAAAAAGTTTATATCAGACAAATTAGAATGGAAATATTTGCATTCAAACAGTATATACGATACAACAGACTTTACGAAGTAACCATTGTGATACCTTGCTACCTCATCCACCAACATGCACAGCCAATACACTGTAGTGAACTTGATTAACAGAAAAATAGTGAATCTTTTAGAACCACTCACATAAAACCGTTAGAATGACCCCACAGCCTTCTGGATCACATCAAGGCTTATTGATCATGTACAAGCATCCTGGGAATGAGGAATTGAGCAAAGGAAGACCAGATATATGATGGAGACTCACCCCAAGCCACCACCAATAATGCAAACCACCATTGCCAGCCCCTCTTTCCAATCACGACATTCACCTGAGAGGTTACATACAGACCAGCAGTTAAAGTGTTAAATGAAGAACCGTGATGAGGCACCTTGTGTAAATTAATGGATGTGTTGGAGTCCAGTGAGAGAGAGTGTCGTGCACCACATTTAAGTCAGTCACCAATCCTATATGCTAGCATTCAAAGAACTTATGCAACCATGATATACAGGAGTAAAGCCACATAACATGGCCAATTGTGGATGGAGGGAAACCGAACCATAGGAGAGAACAAATGTCAAGGAAGAGAAAAGACAAGATGCAAAAGGAAAATTTTCGCAAGTTCAACATGCATGTGATCCAGCAATTGCCATGCACAGACCATAGACCGTTTTGGGACAAAGAATGATGTCATACATTACCATTATCTTCCGAGCAACAGACTATTGCTCCAGCGACATGAACATGGATTTGAATCTATCAAGGCAAAAGAAAGGTGAGAGATTTATTGTTACTATGTAGCCATGTAATTTCTGTATAATAGCATGGCTCACATGATGACAATTCATAGGGTATAACAATGCATGGCTGTGCATGGCCCGAAATCTCGTATACCAGCCATGCATGCCATGCAAACCACATGAGTGTGAACTTACTGATGCACAGCCTAAACATACCAGTTGTAGTAGTTTGGTTGTTTTTGAGCAAGATGGCAGAAGCAGCCCCGATTTCTCATGTCAGAGCAGTGTGAGCTTCTGACCAAACTGAGATGCCCAGGTTCAAGCTGCCAGACCCGTCAGGTTCTTGAGCATTGAAATTGATGTCTGGGTAGTCCTGGGCTCAGGAGATCTGAGTCTAAGACAGGAACAAGTGATTTCAACAACTCATGGAATCCTGGCTGAGGTGAAGGAAGGGGGTGAGTACTCGGATGACCATTTCATTGAGTCTCTAACAGCAAAAAATTTAGTTAATACAGACTTATTGGATTTGAGAGGCAAAAGCTCACAGTGACGGAAACACTTCCGTTGTTCACAGCACTTTTCAGGCCTCCATTGCTGTACATGCCGCCACCTAATGTGCAAGTAAACTATGAGTTGAGAAGGTATCCCAGGTTAACAGTGCAAGCATATTAATAATTACCTATCTTGAGGTAGTCTCCTGGTTGTTCCATGTCTAACCCGGCATTTGCATTATTGCTGGTGTAGTCATGCATAGCACCCCAATCTGATACAACATAACCTGTGATGCTATGCTTGAGGCCACAGGAAACGCTCTGGATGGTTTAGGCACTTACCTCAGAATCCACCTTGTCTTAACAGCCCATTTGAGCCGATAAGCACCTCATTATGACAAGACAATGTTTGGTTCAACTGATTGTATGCACACATGATGGAAGCGACATCAGCCTGGAAAATGTTTCCTGCTCACGAACATGTGAAATAATAGACCGAGGCACGTATGTCGATACTCCTCATGAAAGGCCACCAATATATTTCATGGAGTCTCCTGTCATCTACATCTGCACTTAGACCATACCTAAACTTTGTGTTCATAGGAAGTCATAGCAAAAAAAAAGAATGACATGCCTGAGAAAAAAAATGTCATGGGAAAACTGATGCGAAAATTCTATCACTCATACCTTGAATGCTCCTGATTATTGGCTATGAAATGCTTGGTGCAGGCCTGAACACCCATGCTCTGGATGCCGACTATCGTTTCGTATGCAAATTCCCCACTCAGGTAAGGGTCAGGGCCGGCGCTAGAAATCGGGACAACATTTTATCAGGACACACAGCATTTGCAATGTAACAGCAGGGTATATCACCTCTCCCATCCTTGTCCAGCTTTGGGATTTCTCATCTAAATTCTCGCAAGTCATAAGTGCTTAGAACACGACGAAAAGATGTTTGTTCTCACAATATCCATAGCTGGACCAAGAAAGATGCTGCTGCTCGTAAATAAGCATTGGAAAAAATGTGGGAACCTTATTCTTACTGAACACCCTTGCCTCTGAATTCTTCGGTGAGTGCCATGCCTCTTGCTCACATCAGATGATGGCTAAACATACTTGCAGTGTTAATACCTGTTGGGAATCCGGTGACCTCCTTGACGAGCCACAGACCAGCAGGACCATCATTAAAACATATAGGTGGGATAGTAAGGGTCATCAATGATAGCATTATGGAACAGCTGGGGGGGTATAATATTTCCTACACACTGACCTACAAATTCAATATCAAAAGAGGAACCTCCAAAGAATGATGAAAACTGAATTAAAACATACTGCCAAATTTCCCTACTCCAATAACCAACCCTAGCTTTTCATCCAGTGTCAACTGTTGGACAGTCTCATTCGCAAGTGAATAGGCTTCTGCCCAAGACCCTGGATGTTCAGTTATGAGAAAAATATAGAATGTGGAGATGAGGATGCGATAAATACATTGTGTGAACGCCTGGACGCTGCCAACGATTAACCAGCATACTAGGCACAACATGTGCAGAGCTGGCAAAAAATGTAGCCACACCATCGATATTGTTGGAAGGGAGGACAATATGTGATTCAGAGAAGATAGCCTTAACTACAATATATGAGGTTCATTTTATTGCCACTGGGCTTGTCAATGGACCCCATGGCCCATCCGTGCATGTGGGCTGGTGCCAGCCATCAGAACAAAGAACAAGACTTTGGGGTAGACTATGGCACCAGAGCCTTATGACTGGAGGAGCAGATGCTGAGAGGAACTTGAGTGGATTTGTGACCCTGTCAATATCCATATGGGTGAGTTGCCAAGAACACGACAGTCCAGATATTAGGGCTTATCCCCCAGCCCTGTTTGTGTTTCTCCTCCATTTTCTATTGGCTTGGCTTCTTTTCATTACCTATCTTATCAATAAAATGGGTTTAAAACTTGTTTTACACAAATTTAATCATGGCAAGGACAGAACAGAGATTGGCACCAGAATGCCAGATCAAGTCACCCAGGGGACCAGGATCCTCTTCATAGTGCCGTTCAAAGGACTGAGATCCTTGCAGTGATCTTAGCCTGACACTTGCTTGAAGACCAGGTTCTTGCAAGTGTCTCTCGATCAGTTCCTGGTAAGACTGTGCAGTGTGGAGAAGAGCCACATTGCTCGCTCACTCACTCTCTCAAGCTGTCCTACCAGACTCAGTATCATAAATCGATGTTTTGGGTCCCCCTGGAGAGGTTTCCGGGGGGCTGCTTTGGCTACCATCAGAGTCCTAAGTGAGCGACACAATTAGATAAACTGGTGACACTCAACAGTAATGGAACAACTTACGACACCTCTCGGTATTTGGGTTGCTCGGACGTTTTCATAGATGTCCTGTACAGCGTTTACATGTACTGTCCTTCGAAATCAAATCCAAGTCCCAGTGACCCACTTTCAGCATTTGTAGTTCCATGTAACAATGCCATGGTGCCTTTAATTTGAGAGTTAGTCTGCCTTCATCATATCCTATGTCATTTCTAAGCAGCTGTAATTGTAATCGCCTTTCGGAATCTGAGCCGATCAGCTTCGTGCCTGCGACTAACTCACTAGTAGCCATTGCCTGTTGGTTGGACCTTATGACATTTGATTGCCACAGTGATTCATGTGGGCACTCTGGATGATATTCCAGCATGTCGATTCTTGCTAACGCAGTGTCCATCAGTTTTTATAACATCTTAAGATCCTTCAGAACCTGTCCAGCCTTTGTCATGTCAAGTATCACACCACTCATGTTAGGATTGCCCAAGAAGAAGAGAAGCTGTTTCATTCTGAGCTCTTCAGTGATTCTTTAACTTTGCAAGAGCCAGAGAGAATGCTCTTGAAATTTTTGGAAGCGAGGTCATACCTGCAAATCAGAGGACAATTTGTATACAGATCTCAGGTGCACTGAGGGGATGCAGCTATGGACCCCCTGATCAAGCTATCAACAATCATATTTTGTTGACTCTTCTGGTCCACTTCTTCACTATATCTGGAGGTGGTGGATTTCCTCCAGCCGTGGCAGAAATAAGCGTAGGCAGTGCCAAAGTCATGATTTTGTGTGATGGAGATTTCAAGAACCTTATCTAGTGGCATCAGCTTCGTATGTGGTAATTTGTGGGGCCATTCATTGGGGGAGAAGTGTCTAGTTTGTATGACATGTTGAATATGTGTGTTTGTCCTGCTTTCATTGTGCTGTAGCCTCATTCAACCATGAGCAGGGATGGACCTCCATAAAGATTCACTAGACTATGAGCAGGAAATGGAAAGGATACATGTGGATCTCCCTAAAGCCATTCACTCTGCTGCCCAGAGGAATCGACTGTTTCTGTCCCAAATCAATGAGCCTACAGTGGTAGAGAACCTATCATATCATCTGATCTAGCCAACATTCCCTATGTAGACCTCGGTGTCATCAGATTGCAGGAGAAGCTCAATGCGATGCTAGATCGCAGACCCTACCAAGGCTACTATGCTGCCCTCATGGGAACCAGAAAACACCAAAACCATGTGGCCTAGAAGACGACTAATCATGTCACCATCAGCCATGTTGCCGAAAGATAGACGCTCAAAGGTAACGATAATATTATCGAGAAAGAACATACAAACATCAAACGCATGGCTGAATCTCCATGATAAATGTCAAAATGATCTCATATCATAGATAGAGCACTTGAGTACTCACAATATATGTGCCCTACACTGGTTCTGTGCTGTCATATACAATGAACCATGGCATCAGGTTTGAGGTATATCTTTGGGATGTGAGCAAAAATCCTGTCTCAATGTCATCGTCCTAGGTAAGCAAGTCAATGAGACCTCCTGCATACTTGATCAGAAACTAAAGGCAAATGACGGCAGGCAAGCATACCTTGAGCGCAGGAAAATAGATGCCACTAAAAATGACGATCTAGTGACTGTCATGACAAAACATCTTGGGAGGAATTATCGAAAGACTCAGTTTGATCATCAATAATTTGTGCAAAAGCAATTGAGCAGCCTTTGAGGCCAAGAACTTCGAGAGTATAATACTTCCTTTATTGATCATCAGAGGATACAGTGAGCAATAACAAAGAAACAATGAACCATTCTCTACCAGGAAACCCGCATTGTCATGAGGTCAGCTTCAAGGGCATCAAGTGCTCTCACATGATATCATCGTCGCACAAAAACAGTAGCACTGATTGTCTCATCAGAATTCTTCCCAGGACAAGGATTCCTCCGCTATCATAATACATCCGCCAATATTGGATCTTGCGTTCCCAGTCATCCCGCTCTCCCAAAATATGGCAGCGTTGTGTTGGCAGGACGTGTTTCTCCATCATGAGTCCTCTTCAGTGGAGGAAGCGAGGGTTCTTTGGGAGGAGAATGTGTTGGTGCCACAGTCCAACAACGATTCCCTCTATCATTGAGTGATATATCTGCAGCAAATGGTAAGCAGATTGTGACAGAAGGTGGGAAAGAGACTATGCCTTTACCCCAAACATCATTACTCATTTGTCTCCTCAATTGCTGCCATCAGCAGCAAAGCTCCTCAGTTTGTAGGGTTCACTATATGCAAAATGAGAAAACAATGCTCATGGAGGGGAGACTAGAAGATGTACTTCAAGTGTGTTGATGGGAGAGATCTACTGCAATGTTTCAGTGAAGCACTGGTATCTGAGAAACATAGCCAATATTCCTTGATGAGAAGCATTTAGGTGTATTGCAAAGTTCAAGGCTTAGCAACATCAGAGGTATGATAGACCGCTGTTTGGTCATAATCGAGAGTTGCATTAGTAGCATCTACAAAGTTAACGCTGCTGTAGTGACACTATTTGGTTCCTTGTTTGTGAACTAGTGGCATCTTGTCAGAGTAGCACAGACACGTTTTCTAGGGGTGTTGTGTTAGGTGGAAGATATGAGAATAAGAGTTGGACATACTGTTTTGAATGTCTTCCCCCAATACAGTGCAACAAGAACCCTTGATAATTGGCTTCATGGTATGAACAAGACCGGATGATATTTGCCTGGGAGTGGTCACACTGACTTGAGATCTTCATGTGTCTTTGCTTTGCTTACTGTACACATAATCAGAGACTGACACTGAGAAAATGTACCATTCTCGCACCATCACGCCGGTACCCAGCACTGGAACTCTACAATGGTGGCTCTGATTTCCTCTTGGCCTAACAGGGGTACCATCACAACCATATTCAGGCTAAAGGCAAGGTAATGGCCTGCTTGACGAGTAGTCTTGGTAGTGTGGTGCTGATTAGGTCTCTGACCTAATCTGCCCTGCAGAATAGCTTGGAGTTGTTGTTGCCTGGTTATCACACATTACATAAGCCTGCCATAGAAATGAATGAAAGACAATTCATTTTCGTCTACCTGTGTCGAAGGATAAGGACAAAAGCAAGTGGAACAATGGATGGCATACCTAGGTTGGCGTTGGTAAGAGAGAAGAGGCCCCCAGATGCTCCCACCAAACTTTGTCCAGATTTTAGCATATTTTGGGTCCAAACATCACCAAACAGTGTCGAACTTTGTCCGGATGTTAACATATTTTGGGCTGGCACTGATGCCATTGCCCTGACATCTGAGCCAATATCAGTCTTGATTTGGATTTTGGACTCCTCTCCACAATATTTTCCAAGCAAATTCCAACGAAAATTTGTAGTCATGTCAAATACAGGTAAAAACGGACCTCAGTGCTGGTGAATACAGCAGAATCAGATGGTCAGTTCCAGATGGCACTCTGGCCTGGGAGGCCCAAAGAAGTGACTTTGTCTGAGTTAGCATATTTTGAGCCCCAAAAGTCGCATATTTGAGGACAGATTTTCGGATTTTTGTCAGACAAAGTTTGGTGGGAGCTTCTGGGGGCCTGAGAGAAGTGAGGGGAGCCATAAGGTCAAATAGATGCAAATATATCGGACCAGATCACACTTTTTTGCATGCTGACTGGTGACTTCTGCTGGAGGAGTAATAGTTTTCTCATCTTCATTTCATTAAACCATGTATGGAAATTATAAAACCCACCATGCATCCATCCCAGCTGTAAATGCCAGAGAATGCCAAGCAATTTTGATTCACCTTCATGTAGGTATCTTATGGTGTGATTCCTCTGACAGCTGACTCCTTTGAAGGTCCTTCCAGGTTTTCTGCTCGATGGCTTTTCGCTTTTTTGCTAACAATGGAGACTCTTCAAGCAATACAGTAGTTGTTCCTGTTCACTTGTCCTCCTTGTACTAGCCTACAGGTGTAGTTTGTCTATGACGTGCTCATGCGACTTCACTGCCTCTATCTTTGGAAATTAGTATTCAGCTCATTCATGGTCAGTTATATCTTGCTGCATATATCAATTTCATCATCCCACATATATTCACTCTCCCATCTTCCAGGAACTGTCCGATGAGGCAAATGCCAAAATGGTATTTAACACTCCCATTTTAAAATTCAAGGTCATGACTAAACTCGCTATCAGCCAGTAAGTACAATAGTCAGTGACACAATCACGTACTCGGAGGATAGCAACAGAAGATTGGATCTGGCTGGCCTTGACAATCTGGGATATTGCACACGTGCACAGGTGCTGCCAGTGGTCATCAAAAGATGCAATATTTACTGAGCTGAAGCTTAAGTGGCGAGCATGGCAGTAGCGTTGGATGGGTAAGCACCTGTTCATTCAATGAACAAATGATGACTGACTTGCACAGGTCACGATGATGTGCTTGGTAACGGCGAGTGACAAAAGGCTAGTGAATGGATATGAACACCACAACACCAAAACCCTCTACTACTCTACACTAATCACCAATATTATTGAGTTCAGGTGTTTCGAGTATGATAGAAGCACTCTGCAGACTTCAACAAATCAAGGAAAGGTTGTTTAGAGACATATATTTGATACTAGTGAGCTACACAAGAGGTAATACTTGCACTAGCAGGGTTTTAAGACATGATTGGATGAATAGTGACTTGTGTTGAGCAACTGCGCTCGGTCTAACTCTGATACTTCAAAACTAGTGGCACTCTGGGCCAAATACTGGGTCTCACAAGCGGTCTACACTTGACTAGCGGCACCCTAGGCTCGACTAGTGGCACTCTTGGCCTAAGAACAAATACTTTAACTCTGAGAAAATACTTTAACTAACTTCGAAACGCTCTGAGTCACTCCAAGACAGAATAGTAACTTTAAGACACTTCAATTTGTTCAATACTATAGGTGACTAAGCAACTAGTAGACACTTCATCGAGGTTAAGCACAAAAGCTTTTAATTGGGGCACTAGAATATGGACTAGTAGGTCACAATCGTGGGGATGGCTTGCCTGCCTGCGAGGCTGCCCCTTCTACTACTTATATACTACAGAGACAGGTACAGAATAAATATAAATAGATTCTTTAGGGGTAATATTGGTAAGGATATCTTGGCTAGTCACGAATTATGGTGAATAATCACACAATAGTCAGCCTAGCCTGTTCTTTCTGTCGGATAGCGGGTCGAGGGACTCTGCTATTGGGTCGTTTCCACACCCTTTGCCCAGTGGTGACACAGCTATATGAATAGTCAGGTAACCGTGCCTGTAGCAACTGCTCGATCATGATCAGGGCGCAGCCCGGCTATACTAGTGCCGATCGTATGAGATCTGTATCACACTGGCCAGATCTGGGCTAAGGGTTATGCCTTTACTGGTTCATTTCTAAGTCCTTTCAGAAGTGCTCATGTGACTAGTCATCCTGACTTAGGCGTTCATGCCAGGATCGGTCCACTAGCGACTGAATAGTCGAGATCTGTGTGGGTTCTTACTTCTTGTTTGGGTGCTAGCAGCTGTATTCTTTACTAGTGACCGTATTTTACTAAGTCATACTAGCTTTGGAGGTGCTAGTCCGGTCGGCTGGTAGGGCTGACCCACTAGTGGTATCATTCCTAAGTCCTGACTCGACTAGTAGCATGCTAACTTGACTATCAGTCTGAAGTCTCAACTATAGCCCTTGATATACGACTAGTATAGGATAGACCTGCAACAGTATTGTTATAAAATCGCAAAATCTAGGTGTGAACGCGTAGACAGCGTATCAATGAAGAATTGAGCTGCTGAATTTTGACTGGACGTTCACAACATTCTTTCCATCAATATGTCCTTCCATCCTGTCAACCTGAGTGGCAAGTTCATGGCACTCTGTTTTGCAGACACTGATCTATGACTGGAAGATTTGTTGGAATGTCAAGTGTCGTGCATCATGGTGCAGTTGACGTCGGGATCTTCAGTAGGAAGCACCGTTCATCTGTTCTCCTCCTCAGCTTTCCTTATTACATCATATTGCTTCTATTAGTGTACACAGCATGTAGATAAATAGGTAGATGAACAACGATGACCCTCACCTGTTTGCAAGGGTTCCCTGCTATATCCAGGTGAGCGGCTGGAGAATTACCGCTTATCTCAACACAAACAGGCAGCATAATCCACAGTCCTTGTCGCTCTCATTCTCTGTGCTGACTCTCGAGACTATTGCTACACCGCTACCCCGGCACTGGTGTCAAGATCACCTTTGTCACTTGCTAGACCATGAGATGGTCTAGTCGTTTGCTTTGCTGGTCCACGAGACGGTCTGGCTGTTCACTTTTCTGGTCCATGAGGCAGTCCAGTTGTTCATTTTTTGCCCTCCACATTCATTGTTTGCCACGTCGAGATCACCTATAGAGCAAAATGTCAGACGAGTTGTTTGGTGCGCGTTTTCCCAAGTTATCGGTCAGAAACCTTGTGGAATGGCGAGTGATGATGGAGGCCAAGCTCATGTGTCAGAAGCTCTGGACTAACATTGTCGAGATCAAGGTTGATGAAGATGGAAAGTCAGAGTCGGAGATCTTGGCAGAGGTCACGGTGAAGTTGAAGGCATGTGATAAGCAGAAGAGGGCAGAGGCGAGGGCTGAGAAGATTTTGAGGGTGGATGTCAGGCAGCTGGCACACATGGACTCAAAGGACCCACAGGAGATCTGGGGGAACTTGCAGACTGTGCATTGTGCACAGGGCTTTGCAATGAGCTTGTCCTTGTGAAGGAAGTTCTTGATGGCGAAGATGCTTGAGGGCCAGGGTATGGAGGCTTGGGTTGGGAAGATCAGGCGAATGGTGAAGGCGATGGAACTAGCCAGTATCGATGTCAGCGACCAAGACTTAATCCTTGCACTCACCATGGGACTCCCCCCTTCCTATGAAAACATCATTATCAACTTTGACACGACCCCACCTGACCAGCTCACACTCTCGAATGTGATTATTCGCTTGCTGAATGAAGAGACACACCAAGCGTTGCTTGCTCCTGAACATTCAGAGAAGGATAAGGATGGGATAGGTGATGATGATGAAGTTGCGGCAGTCGCCTTTCGCGGTGGCAAGGCATCCAGGGGCCTGAAGGGAAACAGTCAAGTCAAGCTCACTTGCTTTTTCTGCGATAAGGCCAGGCATCTGAAGGCAGATTGTGAGGAGAAGGCGAAGTGGTGAAAGTCAAAAAAAGGGGAAGACTGTGGTGGTGGACTTCGCCAGGTTGGCTTATGAGAGTGACTCTGATGTCACTTTCTAGGTTACTCTTTCCCACCATGGTGTTCACCTTCCGGGGGTGTACATTGTATGTTTTCTCCTCTCATTTTTCTCTTTTCTTTTCTTGGGATTGATGCACAAACTTGTGGGGGTGTGTTGGAATGTCAAGTGTCATGCATCATGGTGCAGTTGACATCGGGATCTTCAGTAGGAAGCACCGTTCATCTGTTCTCCTCCTCAGCTTTCCTTATTACATCATATTGCTTCTATTAGTGTACACGGCATGTAGATAAATAGGTAGACAAACAACGATGACCCTCACCTGTTTGCGAGAGTTCCCTGCTATATCCGGGTGAGCAGCTGGAGAATTACTGCTTATCTCAACAAGATTGATGAGCGCACTCATCTCGATGACATATGTGACTTGCAGCTGAAGCAATGCACATATGTTGTTTTCACCGCAAAACCCATTCTAGTCATGCATGCATGCTTCATCCATCTCTACAAATCCCCACCCTTTCTCCTTCTGCTCTTTTGGCTGTGTTGATGGTGTGAGCACCACCCCAATCCCATCCTCATCTGGGCTGAGAACAATGATCACTTGACATCCGAGCTACTCAACTTGCATGAGCTCTACTTCCTCCCTTCCTGACCAGAACCTTTGTCTCTGAAGTATTCTCCAGATGCAACACCCTCCTATTCACAGACATAGTTCTTGGCAGGTGTAGTACTGCAATATAAATCTCTCCCACAGCTGTGCTATTTCTCCTGGTACTGGGAGGAGCATGATAGCTGTGACATACTCCTCACAACTGTCTTTTCTCTCCAGTTCAAAAACGAGCGAAGTCTGTTCAAACACATTGAATAACTGGATGTCATTGGATTATGACAAGCAACTCCATTTCTATGTTCACAAATACCACCCTGGGAAAGATTGGTATGGATGATATATCATCCAGTACTGCAGGTTTTTCTGCCACAATGGTCATAGAGAATGGACCATCTACGAGTTCTTGATAGCTGCATAGAAAAAGGGTATGGCACCAGTTAAGCTGTTTTTCAGGCTTTTCGATGAAACACATCTTCCCCATAGCTTTAGATATCATGTACAGATAAATATAACGACACACTCTGATTGAATAGGACCCAATGAGTGTTCAAATTTAGTTGGCTGTCGACCTCAGGTTGGATACTAAACATCTTCGAAAAAGCGTCACCTATTATCCTGATGCAGTGGTTGACGATCAGTGCGACTGGCCCAAAATTCATCTAAGTTTTTCGTGTAAAGGATGTTCATGAGTTTGCTTGGCAATTCACTTCCCAGAAGCCTGAGCTTTCGGTCCCGATGTAAAGCCTGCATCCTATAACGACACAGGAAAAGCCCATATATTGTGAACAGTAAAGGTATTAGTATATGAGCCAATATACGAGCTAGAAGAAGATTGAATAATACAATACATATCAATGCCTGAAATGAAAAAAGGCATAGAAAGCCTATATAAAGCTGAATTCTTAAAGGTCAGATTTTGGAATCATTGATACGTTAAAGTGCAATTGCCCTCGTAGATGGCACAAGTGTTTGTACGCATAGAGCCTTTGAACTCAGCAAAGCTGGAGCAGTCATCTTGCTTCATGAGGACCATCTCAATGCTAACAGCCCCTGAAATCATGTGTCAGACCCCGTAAACAGTGGTAGAAATGTACAAACATTTGTAGTGACCATCAATCTGGTTGTCATAGTTGAACCAAATCCAGCTGCTTGTGAGGTAACAGATGTTTCCAGTTGCTTGGATGGTGCAAGTCTTGGTCATCACCTAAGATGAGGGCAGTCGGGTAACCACAACTACTGGGGTGGACAATCACTAACCATAGTGGAGCAAAAGTTGCCCTTTGGAGCAGTCATCTTGAGGGTGACTTTGCTCACATCATTGTAGGACACGTCGAAGCTAACAGTTTGCCTTAGCATTTGTGCTGTGGTCTCGAAGACAGTATAATTTACATGTTCAAAGTGGTATCCATAACCTTGGTAGAGATAGTCAGGGCATCAGTGACCTCAGCTACCTCTGGAATGCCAATTTTGGCAGTGAGTGTGTTGGAATCACCAATAGTTGAAGCAGCTGGATGCCGGATCAATAAAGGAACCACCGAAAGGGAGACCAGAAAGCATACCAGTGATGGTGTACAAAGCATCAGTGGTGAAGCCTTGGTCGACTTTGATATCAACTTCACCATAAGTACCAATGAGGCTGCTTGCAGTGGAGGAGTTATGCATCTGGCAGACTGGGTCACCTGTCTGATGTCCATGAATCAGAATCAAGATAGAAACAGTGAAATTTTGAACGTACCGGAAAAACTGAGTTCGACAACTTCATCAGTAATACAGACCTGTGCAGGGCTGTCAACGTACTAGAGGAATGGTCAGGCAATAGCTGTATGAGGCAGGGCAACAATGGATCTCATGTTGCTGGGGTTTGTAACAATGTCATGGGAGCCATTGCCCCAGTTATTGTTGGCATACTGCACAATGGCATCCCATCCCTTCACTGTATGAATATTGTCCAGCATCATAAAATATGGGAGACAAAATGCTAACTGACGAGTTTGAGCTTCATCGACTGAGAGCTGTCTGCATTGACTGGTGGCACAGTGCTCAATTCCATCAGACTCAGTGGAGAGGGGATATCTGCCATAGAGAGAACCATCTCGCTTGAAGGCAAGGTAGTGTCTGCAGGCCTCATCCACAGTGATGTGGGCAATGTCTCTGGGAAGAATCCCAACAAGCTCACTGAAAGGCAGAGCAGTGATGCCAGAAAGAGCAGTCAAAAGAGTAATAAACTGGAATTGGTGTGTGTTAGGCCAGGTAATAGAATGTAGGATAGGATGGCACTCACAGCAGCAGGTGTGAACATTGTGCAGTGAAGTGCAAAGGAGATTAAGAGATGTAATACAAAGAAACAACTGAGGTTGATGATCCTCTAGACCTCATATTGACCTGCTTTTATATGTGAAGCTGTTAAGAATATGGATATTCAAGTTAATACACGAGTTTATAATTACTCAATTAAAACCTGATGTGAGGATGTCCAAAAGCCGAGTTCCAACTGCCAAGAGGGATCCATAAGGTGCTACAAGGCATGAGGTATACTTAACAAGGGCATCAGCAAGGGCTAGACGTAACCAATCAAAGATGCTTAGAATGCTGTTGAAGTAGACATTTGAAAAGGTGTCAAATTAGCTTAAGATTCTTAATACAAGGACCAGGGCAATATTTATACTACTAGTAATAAATCAAGTTATTATTATTCTACAGGGTCCTTAGCATCAGCAAGAAGAAGAGAAAAACTAAGAGAAAGCACCAGTGAGCCGAGGCCAAGACCAACCAAGAGCAGGCATGTGTTGACTAGTGTACAAATTGGAAAGGACCCAATATGCATAACAGAAGTGCTGTGTTCCATGTCTTTGTCACTGTTTTCATATTGTCAATTGGTTAGCCCGCTGTCAAGGCAGTCCTACACAATGATATTGACTGTAACCAATCGGGATGGTGGACACTAATGAGTCAACTACAATGCTTCAAGTTCTCATGGTGAACTCATCAAGCTTGTCTTCTCCCATGTCTTCTCAATACAATCTGTATTTCATTATGATATCAAGCTTGTATGAAGCATTGGCTATCTCAAGCTGTGAGAAAGTTTCTATGTAAGAAGTGGTGACTTCAGTGCCCCCAATAAATACCCACTGATGTACACATCTTCCAGGCATAAGAATTGCCAAATTTATGCCAGGTTACATCAGACCAAGATCTGATTGTTATCATAAAGGCATGGTTCAGTCCATTGGTGCTAATCATTGTTATGATGGACAGCATATGTACACCTGTAAAGGCGATATGGCCCCAATGTTCCTAATACCTTGTTCCGAGCTGTATCTGCAATGTCCTCATACATAATTCAATCACCACAGACAATTTCAAGGAGCTACCAAAATGACAGCTCAGAACATGGGAGAAAATAACAGCTACAAGTCTTTCTATGTGCATCAATGATTTCCTCTCAGAAAGTATTTCAACATTGACACCAGTGATAAAGCACAGCTAGTATGCTTCTTGATCCAATGAACCTCATTGTTGTTTCAGGATTTACTACTAGGTGAGCATCGTCTCATGAAAATTTTTCATTAAAAAAACTCAAATGGTGGAACAAGTGTGTGCTCACTGACAAGAACATCAAACAAACAAATCACCTGCATAGTATGAAGGCCATTTAACCCTCCCTGCAGTCCCGATTTCATGATCCACATAACATAGTACCGAGAGAACGGTATGTCCTGATCATAGTATCATTGCCAAACTAATGCTTCATCGCAATTTCTGAAGAATATCCGAGTCAACATTCCACTTGCAGAGATACAACACAGCCATTTGACATCTGCCATGAAAACTGTGCCATCTAAAGCCATGCAAAGGTCTGCTTTAAGCGCACCAATACCAGATCATGTTGTCACAACAGTGATGTCTCATCGGGGTTTGGGTTCTGGACAAACATAACCTTCACCCTACAGAAGAGCAGGTGAGACCCAGTCTCTTGTCCCCATATTCAGCGAGCTAACAGCTCTCTCCCAGGTGCTCTGCAACAAAGGGCGATCAAGTTATGACGAAAGAGATAGCAAAGATCATACCTTGACCAGAAAGTCCTGTTCATGGAATCCTTCACCACCCGCAATCTCCACCATCATCAGCAACAACAGCATTCATTTGGTTCTTTGATTCACTACATGCTCCATCAAGATATGATGCTGGTGTCGATCACCAGGCATACCTTGAGTGCTCCTAGGATAGGAACTGGCTGTGATCCTGCTAGAATGTGATAAAAATAGCAGATGGTCTCAGCTAAGTAAGCGCTGATGGGATTTGCACAATATGGAGCTGAGGAATATCAGAGGCCATGATGGACACCGGTTTGATCATAATGCAAAGTCATGTCTATGAAGCAGGTGCTGTTGTAATAAAGGTATTTGGTTCCAAGCAGATGGTTTTTGTTGCACTGAATCATGCTGACATCATCGTCATCAGCAGAATATTGATGTTTTCCTATTGCCATGCTGTTAAGTGGAAGGCAAGAGAATATGAGTGCGGCATACATTTTCAAATGCCTTTTCCCCAATCCAGTGGGACAAGTCTTCTCGATAGTTAGTTTCATGGGTGTGAGAGACATGTCGCTGCCTATAATATCCTTGTCAGTCTGTGGTCTCCTGATTAGAATCGATAACAGCCAAAGCCTGTGTCATGTCGGAAACTGGTCTGACAGGAAACACTAGGAAATTGGACTGAAATATGAGCTGAGTAAGCATTTAGTAAGCTAGTCAGCTGCTGCAGGTGACATGTCATGCACAGCAGACAAGCTGAGTAAGCACTGCATCGTGATGTGCCTACTAGCAGGAATACTCTGACTAATGCTTATGCAGGGAGCCTGAAGGATGAGTAAGCTAAGTAGCTAAAAATAGGACAGCTAACATGTGTAAAAGGACCAGAAAAATTGGAATAAAACAACTTTTACACACCACAGAGAACACAGCATTATATTCAGAACTTAGGTGGTCAGAAACCACAAGCATTTTAGCAGTCACAAAATCAACTGGATTTTGTGAAATCAGTCAATAAACAGTCAGAGCATCAGTCAGTAGCCAACTACCATACAGTTGGCAAAGCATTATTAGCAGAATCAAGAATCAGAGACTGAACTCTGATTATTTTCAGTACTGAAACTGTTCAATGTAGAACACCCTTGGAGTCAAGCAGAGCATAGCATTCATGCTGATTCCCCAAACTCATGCTATCATACTAATATTCACAGTATGAAAATTTCTAGTCACTCATAAATTCCTGTGACACCTGCCTTATTCATTCAATGTGTACAGCACACAATCAAGCATTGCAGCTTGTGAATATGGTGGGAAATTCAAAATGTACTGCCTCCATCTTGACATGTCATCACACAACCTGATTTCTTTCCATTGGCAATCAATGTTGCATTCTGGTAAGAAGCATTTTGCAGAAGGCAAACAAGTTTCAGAAGCAAGCATAGAAGTAAGAATAAGATAAACCACAGTATTTCACAGTGAAAGACCCATGCCAGTCAACAGCATATAACAGCCAGTTTGGTGGGCAGTTTCTGTGGTCGAGATCATTGGTCTGGTTGTTGCACATGGTTGAGCTGGTATTCGTCAAAACATGTACATCAAGAGAAAACCAATAAAACCAGCAAATCATTTCATCCATTGCTAAGGAAATGTGAGCAAGAAAGCAAGCAGAATGGAACAGACAGCATGCCTAGTTCAAAGCATTGGAGAAGAAAGCCAGGACTGGGCCAACAAAGGCAAATAATTACAAATACACCAGATTGAATTCCCTGACCCTTTTGCCTTTCATCACCATCACTGTGCTTGCTGTCATGAGCTTGCTGTGCTTTCTCCCTCCTTTTCGCCCTCTATACCTCTGAGATTTTTGTATGTTATACCCTTTTTGTTTTTCTGTCTCATGGCAGCAGTCCAGGGCTAGTCATCGATAGCAGCAATCATCTGCTGCTTCAGCCTGTAAACTTGCTAGAGTTGAATGTTCATGAACATGACTTATTTGACGATACCACCTTTCCCTATCACTGATGTTCCTCTCTTCCATCAGGTGAGACCCTCCCCTTCGTACAGTGCTGATGACTGCAATTACAGGCATGTAAACGGTTTCACATAGTCACATGATTACACAACATATGAACAAGCGCATTAAGACTCAACATCATCTCCAATGACTGCTCATATGCCTTCAATGATGCAAATCTCAGATAGCACACATGCTGGCTCAGCTTGCAGACACTCCTCTGATGCGAGTGAGTGAGGCAAGCTTCACTGGATCGCCTGTATCTGATATCAGAGTCATGCTGGGGAGCCAACACAAGTGGATACTTACTGTATCACAGAAGGCATGGTATTCACTGGGGTGAGGGGATCCAGAGTCTGAAGCGAGTATCTCAGTGGCATTCAATGGGTAAGCACCCATTGATCTGATGAATGATGGCTAACTTGTGTATGTCACAGGGAATTGCACCCCCTGTATTTGGACTGACAATGGAACCCTGCAAGAAATCCACTCCATAGACATCAACCTCCACCAAGTCAACACCACAGGCAATGGCATATCCCTATACCACGATTTTTCTAAAACGCTGATCTATAAGACCAACAAGCATGCCTACCTTGATGATACAATGACATTCCTCTAGCTGTTCTAATTATCACTTGTTCATCACTTCCATATGCTTTAACATTCAAAAGTCCTCAGTCGCAAGGTATACTCGGACACTTCATTGACTGCACTGCAGCAGATTATGATGAAGAATTTGGGAGAATTATCTTTGGCTCAGATTCAGGGACATTACGATAGTTCAGTTGTAGTTGGAATATATGCACCTTCCTGGTTTAAAACTTCTGCATTATTTCGACTAAGGATATATTGGAGTTATCAGTGACTGTATGAGCCATCAGAATCAACCGGCTTCAAATCTGTTACATATTGTACCCATACTTTTCCTTTCTTTACCATTTACCACTATGTCAACGTATTAGGTATAAATGAGTCACTCTTTTTCATTCCCTCCTGTGCTTGAACTTCAACTAGATAGAACTTGAAAGCATCCTGGAAAGCATCTTCATGATGTACAGAGCTGCTAGTATGGCTACTGTGAAGGTTTGAGGGAATGAGAAACCTCCAATTTATATGCTCATCAAGTGCGAAATGTTAAAATCCAACTATTCGTATGACAATTCTGAAACATGAACATACTTGTCCCAGAATGCATAGACATGTTCTCATAGACAATTGCATCATCCACTTACACTGAAGTAGATTCATCAGATA